TGAATTCCAGAACTGTTTGAATTCATGAGGCCCTCATTGAAAAATCCAGCCCATACTGATAGTTTACCTCCCCTTCCAGTGCTCTCTAGACTTTTCTCTGATTCTCTTTCGATTTATTTGTCATTCTGTGTTTCACCCTCCCAGGCTTACATTCCATTTGAATTTCCCTGCAGCACCTAGAAAGCAACTAAAGGCTAAACCTTTAATTTCATGATACTGATTTCCACTAAGCAGGATTCAATCAATATGGAAAGTACTGTTGATAAAAAGAATCCAGCTAAGTAAAATATTTAAAGAGATTCATTCTGAGCCAAATATGTGTGACTACAGCTCATGACACAGCCCCAGGAGATTCGAAGAACATATGCCCAAGGTGGTCTGGCCACGGCATGGTTTTATACAATTTAAGGAAACATAAGACATTCATCACTACATGTAAGATGTACATTGGTTTAATCAGGAAAGGTAGGATGACTCGAGGGTTGGGGAGAGGTAGGCTTCCAGGTCTTAAATGGATTCAAATATTTTATCTGGCAGTTGGTTGAAAGCATTTATCTAAAGACTTGGAATCAATAGAAGGGAGTGTCTGGGTTAAGATAATAGGTTGGGGAGACCAAGGTTCTTATTATGCACATGTAGTTTCCAGGTAGGAGGTTTCAGAGAGAACAGATGATAAATATTTCCTCTCAGACTTAAAAAGGTGACTGACTCTTAGTTAATTCTTTCCTGGTTCATGAAAAAGACTTGGAAAGGCAAAGGGATTCTCTACAGAATGTAGAGGGTCCTTGGTAAAAAGGGCCATTTTCCAAGTCTCCAGTTGCATGACCTTTTGGAGTTTGATGGCCTGAGAGTAAGAAGAGACAAATGGAGTTATTAAAAAACATGTATCAGAATGAAGCAAGAGGGGTGGGTAAGGACAGCTCAGAAATCCTGAGGCCTTTTACTGGTTGCACAGGGAGAAGGAGGCCAGAAGTCTGACTGGTAAAGAAATAGCAAACTTTTATCTTTTTGCCAGCATGTCAGGTTTCTGGGTTCCCTTCCCCTGAGCCCAATTTTAAGCCAACAAGTTTAAGGTTTGGGAAATTAACTTTTCCCAGTTTGGAGGATGCATCTGAGAGATGTTTCCTATAGTACAAAGACACAGTTATCTGTCAGTGAAGAAAGTACAGAGAAAGAAAAAGGGAAAAAGAAATTTTATTTTCAGAGGAGTCCCAGGGGTTCAGAATGCATTCAAAAGAGGTAGACTGAAGATGAATGACTACATATCTGGAAAGAGGGGAGCAAGGCATCCCAGGTTTCTTTCCCTTCCTAATGATTATCTGGGGTACATGAGGGAGAGAAAGTAAGATGTTCATTTTTTTCCTTCGTACTATATCCCCAAGTCTTGGCAGCCATGAGAGGTTGTTGCCCACAGGTGTCAAAGCAGCTTTCACCCATGTTAACAGGGGTGTGGGGAGTGGGAATATTTGCTCTTACCCACATATGCCCTATCTCCCCTGTTGTTAGTAGCCTTTGAGTTCCCTTGGCCTCATTTATGCTATAGATACTAGCATGAATTTTATCTATAAAATGGGAGACTTGGCTTAACTGGAAGGAATTAGTCATGTTCACCTGCACTGTCCCTTTTAACTTCCACTATCCTCTGCCTCTGGATCCCTCAGATCCAGTTTTCTTTCCTAGGGCTTTGACCCAAAGGTTGGAATTGAGTTTGGGACAAAAATGTGTCTCAGAGTGGGTCACATGGACTTTTTATCATAAGCCAAAGCTAAAGTGAAGGTGTAGAATTGAGTCCTCCTCCAACAAAGGAGAGAAAAGGATGTCTTGTGAAATGCCCAGTTAAATGGTGGCTATAGTTATGCATGCTAAGCATAACTTGGTGCATGGGGCTTGGCTTTGGTTAGCTCCCTTGGTCTTACTTTCCAAAAAGGAAACCTCTGGATTATGGGTACCATTTTTATTCCCTTCACTGGGCAAGATTTGCTGGATCATTGCTCAGAATGAAAATGTTGATCCAGATTTTTACATTACTAATCCCTTTTGTTCCTTCTTAGCTGCAGTTGGAAATTGCTGGTTGGTTCATAGGAATAAACAGTGTTAGTCTAAAATGTTGGCAAAAACTTAAAAACAACTAATGAGTTTAGAATGCAATGACAAATGTATGGTAAGTTTTGAAATATAATTTCTCTCTTTCCAGTCTTTCTTTTTGTTAAAAAACAAATCATGATAAGACTGCATTGTTTGCAAAACAGACTTTAGTCTTATATTTGGCCTGATTATTTGCATAAAGTGCAATAAGAATAATTGTTTTATGTAGACCTTTTATATTGGCTTTGATGGAACTCTGTTCCACAAGGAATCTCACACAGGAGTTTCTAAAGCTGAGCCCAGTCATGAGTTTTTACCTTCAAAAACCTGTGACTTGGGTAAATTCCACTTTTCTTGAGGTCCCAAGAGCATGGGGTCTTTGGCCTGTTAGAAAGTGACATTCTTTACTCACCTTAGGTTAGAAAACCTGTACAGGGACTGTGTAGACAAGCTATGAAACCAGTTTTCCCAAGGGTTTTGATCAGGAAAGTTGATCTGCAAGTCGAGTTGGGCTCCTTAAGGGAAGCTTACCCTTCTAGTCAAAGCCTTGGTAAAACAACCAGTTTCTCCAACTGAGTTCTGTTGCAAAAGAAAATAGGTTCTTATTGTCCTGATGGAAACAACTATATTTCCATAAGTTAAGAATACTCATAACTAGTTTCCAAATTCTGGAGAAGCCTGGGGGGAAAGAGAGAGAGAGAGACAGAGATGCTCCAAATTTTGTTCACAGGAGTATAAATTACTCAAACTTACTCAATTATTAAAGGCTGTAAATAGCTCAGAATAAGTTCCCTTCATTCTGAAAAATAAAACAAGGATCAGCAATATTCCAAGCAAAAGTCAAAAAGATTACTTCAGTTTTCTATTAGTTCAATCCACTCCATTAACTCTTGTTCTGCTGATATTCATGAACATTTTAGCTCTTCATGAGTCTTGTACATTTTCCCTTTATTCCAATCTCAAAATCTTCAAAGTTATCAGAAATCTGCATTTGAGAGCACCTGTCAAAGTTCTATAGCTGATTATAAACCATCTTTTTAAGAGAATCAAAACAAGGCAACAATTGCCTGCAAATAATAAAATGTCCAGGGTGATTACAGTCAGATACATGGTTGACAAATAAAAGTGTTTATCTCCATGGTTTACAATAACTTAACAAACGTAATTGCGATTGCTAGAATATATTCCAACATTATAATTTTAGAAATCTCATACAATTTTGGAACATATATTAATATATTCTGTAAAATACAACCTGAAGAAGATTAAACATCATTTTGGAAATCCCATGTACCTAAACATGTCAGGTAATCCTGTTTACCTCTCTTCTCAATTCTCCAGGGGCACTCTGTAGCACCTAAAAGCTAGGTGTTAGGAAAGATAATTTTGAAACTGAAGTTTGATTTTGGGAAACCTGTTAAATGTTAGAGGTTTAAAACACTTGATGTTATGAAATAGAATTCCAGATTTCCATTCTTTATTTATTTGTCAAAATGATGATGCAGACATTTTTTAAAAAAACAAAAAAACTTTATAACCGTTTTGAATTTAGCCAATGTTTTCAACAGAATTTCCTTTGCAAAATTAATTTTTAAGAAACCTTCCATAACTTGTTTGAGCTGTTATTGAAGCTTTATTTCATCTAATTCAAAACAATTCTTTAACCCTAGGCAAAAATTTACATTTTGATGACATCCGCATTTTACCAATAATCTTTAAGACTGTTTTTATTTCTCAGAAATTAAAGTCATGTGAACCAAATAAAGCCTCAACCTCTGTCTTTCATCTTAATAAAGTATTTTCTCAAATTTTTCTGGGTTACACTTTGGTGGTGGAGATGGCTGGAGCCATCACCATGTGGCCAGGGAGCTCTGAGCTTGTCTTGTACCATATGGACTCTGCTTTCTACTTCACCCCTTTATTGTCCTGTCTTATCTTCTTCCTTGCATATTGGGCCACCCAATGTCTCAAAGAACTCTAGGACTTGTGCTCACAACTGAAGTTGTCCTGAGGTCCTGTGGCTGGACCCTGGATCCAGAAAGACAGCCTTGGAAACAAATGACTACTCCTGTAGCCAGCACCTTATTATTATGTATGTTTGAATGACTTCATAGGATTTGATTGCCAAAGAATCCTGCAAAAACAATTTTTTTCCCCTAGGGCTGTACACCTATGGTCAGTCATGTTATTTATGTTCCCATTTTAGATGAGAACACTAATATCATAGACTAAAAATGTAGAATCTGAGATGACACAAATAGTGAAAACTGAATCCCAGGTTTTTCAAAAGGCACTTTGATTTTAGATCTTCAGCCTATTATTCTATTCAAAGGCTCAGAGAAGACATGCTGTGAACGTACTCAAAATAACTGACACTAGAAAAGGTAACAGAGTTGTGTAAATCTTGTCATAGCAGATGCGTGAGTGGGCTGGGGGCAGGTGAGTTCCAGAGAAATGTGGCCCTGAATGTCATTAAGCTGACACTGTATTATACCAGTGGCCTTCAGATTGCTTTCACAACTGGGTAGTTCATCAGCTAATGTGATGCTCCAAACTTTAAATAAATAGAAAACGGCGGTGGTGGGGCGGGGAATATAAAAAACTAGAGGAAAACACTTCGTTTAATCCCAATATAAAAGCTTCACTTCTTTTCAGTGTTCTTCCAGGAGAAGGATTCTTTGGGCTCTTTGCCTTCCATCCTCATTTCCGTGAAAGGGTTTGTGCAAGAGGTACTTGAGAACGCCATAATGTAGGGCTTTGTTTCTCATGGGAACATGAAGGAAAGAGGAAAACCCTCCAAATTGTTTAGTGAGAAAACATAACCTTTATGCCTTTCTTTGGTGGGGTGAGTCAAGTGGTAGAGACTAGAATTCAGGTCTTCAGTGCGTGTATAAATATGTGTGCGTGCAAAAGCAGACATCACACTTTGTGTGGCAAGTAGAACCACTGGCTTGGTAGATTTTGCTACATTTTCTGGTTTTTAAACTCCAGAAAAATATCCCAGATAACTGTCATGAAGCTGGTAACTATCTTCCTGCTGGTGGTCATCAGCCTTTGTAGTTACTCTGGTAAGTAACTGGAATACATCTGGAGTATATGATGTTTCTCTACTTTTCTGTTAATAAGAACACAACTAATGAGCCTTGACTCACTGACAGTAGAGTATGGTGGTAGGAATTTTATTTTTTTATTTTATTTTTAAGTTTTATTTTTAACTGACACATAATAATTGCACATACTTGTAGGGTTAGAAGGAGTTTTGGAATCACAGGAGATGGTGATGTTGGAAAGTATTTCAGATACCCACCATCTAAGCTCTAACCCAATATAAGTATTCTCCCTAATACATCTTGTATAGGAGGTTAGCCAACTTCCATGAAGGATCAACAGAGCACATTTCACTGCTGGATATTGGTCACCATTAGTTTTTATTATTTTCTTCAACCTTGAGTCAAAATCTGACTTCGTAATTTATTTCTTTTGTGCTTTTAAACTATATGGAGTCATTCTTGCTATCATCTCCCATTAACCAGTTTGCTAGCATGGTACTCCTGAGACAGCTAAATTCATCTGTTCATCCACTCAATGGATATTTATTGAGTGGCTACAGTTTGTTGGGCACTGGATAAGCATTGGAAGATTTAGACAAGAATAAGTCATAAATATTTTTCTTAACATGCTTATAGTCTAACAGGGGAGAAAAGGCTTCTACAGAAGTTACTATAATTCTAGACTACTATAAATACACTGTAAGTTAGGCAGATAGAACTCTGTAAGTGTATTGGTGGGTGATGAGTTCAATCTTCAGATAAGGATAGAGAAGCTGGCTTCTTGGAGGAGAATGAGAACTGATTTATTTTTTGGAAGAAATCATTGTAATCATCAGGAAGATAGTTTGGGTACATGGATAAAACATTTCATGATGATGTTCACTGAGAGAACAGAAGTCTTTGGAGATCTCCAAGAAAGCTCTAAATACATACAGAGAATATGTTCACCAAAATGTCTGAAATAAGAAGTATGGAGATTAATTATGAAAAATTGATTGTTGCCCACACCTACACTGGCAACTTTGACTTGTGATGTTTATTGAATGTCTGAAAAAATTTGTAACTTCACCAGTTTTGGATATTTCATTGTTCTCTAGTGTCCAGGGACAAGTATCTATGGGCTGAGGTGGCAGCAGAAAGGAGGTGAAGGAAATAAATATTGCCCCCTCTGGATGAGAATTTTGGAGGAACAACAGGTGACAGAAAATGGGGAAAAATGGATGTACAGGCTCCATTTTAATAATTTGAATGGGGAAATAATAAGTTTCCAAAGGAAAATAAGCTATGGCAGGTCTTAGCCGGTAGGAGGATGTGAGTTTTTACATGTGTGCTCACATACCTGTGTGCATTTATATATCTGTACACGTTTTTGTAAAAATATATGTCATACATATTTTTGCCAATATCTACTCCCCCCCAATAATCTTCTATGGGAAAGTTATCTTTCTAAAACCAAAGATACAAAATGCAATTGTCCTACGTAAAAGCCTTGATAGTGCTCCATTGTGCACAGGACAAAATCTCAAACTCCTTTATGTGACATCCAACACTTTTAAAAAATCTGATTTCACTCAACTTTTGCAGCCTCACTCCCTTTTTCTTCCATGCCCTGGTCACGGCCTATTAGAAATCTACACTCCAGTCTTCTGGGCAGAAGGCTCACCATCCTTGGTATGCACTTACATCTTAACGTCTCTGGGCTCTTATTGGTCATGTTTCTAAAATACTCTTCCTCTTCTTTACCTTATGATCCTGACATTTGCCTCAAGACATAGCTCTAACAACACTTCTGAAAATTGCTGCAGCACTTTCTCACGTTAGAATTAGTCATCTCTTTCTTGTGTTTCCATAGAGCTTTGGCCATAATGTTAGCATAGCACATGCTACACTGTGGTGCACATAGATCTTTATCATCCACTGGACTGTGTGAAGTCTCTGAATGGAATCCTTGTCCTATTTGTCTATGTATCTGCCCAGACTAGCAGAGAGTTGGCACTCAATTATGTTCGTAGTGTTGAGTTGAATTGGTTGGGAGCAGTCTCTTGGGCTGCGGTGGGGTCCATTCCTGTCCCTGTGTGGATATTCACTATGGCATCTCTCCTTTAGCCTCAAAGCTGTGAGCTGTGGAGATAGCCACACACAAAGTAACATCCCCTTCAGTCAACCACAAGGATTTGTTGAATGCTTACTCTGTGCCAGGCATGGGTACAGTAGTGAAAAAAAACAAGCATTCCTTGTTCTCATGGAGCCCCCATTCTAATGAGAAAATAAAGACAATAAAAATAGCAAAAGAAGAGTTGCTTTTTTAGGTCATGTTAAGAAAAAATAAAGGACAGAGAGTGACAGAGGCCATTGTAGGCTTTTCTGAGGAGGTAACGTTTGAAGATAGACTAAAGAATGTGAGGAAGAAAGATATATAGCTAGCTGAGGGAAAAAAGTTCTAGGTAGATGGACTAGCAGGTGCAAAGGCCCAGAAGCAGAAGTTTTTGATGGAAATAAGATGAGTGGGTCTGGAATGGAGGTATTGATGGACACAGGGGAAGATGATGAAGTCATCGTCTGGGCCCAGATGTGCCTGTCTCACTTGGCTTCTCTTTTGCCTGCAGCTACTGCCTTCTTCATCAACAAAGTGCCCCTTCCTGTTGACAACTTGGTACCTTTACCTCTGGACAACATTCTTCCCTTTATGGATCCATTAAAGCTTCTTCTTAAAACTCTGGGCATTTCTGTTGAGCACCTTGTGGAGGGGCTAAGGAAGTGTGTGAATGAGCTGGGACCAGAGGCTTCTGAAGCTGTGAAGAAACTGCTGGTAACTGTAGCTTGGGAGGCGAATCTTCCAAAGGGGAGGGCATAGTGACCCTGAATGTCCACCTCATCCTCTCGTCCCTTGTAAAAGTGCATTTCCGCGTGACTGATTATACTCATAGGAAGTTTGTATGTCCTGGAATCTCAAGAAAAGTATAATTTCTACATGTCCAGGAAGCATTTTTGAATGAAAGAGACGTGTTAGAGTTATGACATTGCCATTTACCACTTTCACCATTTGTGGATGAGACTTAATCACTCTGAGTTTTTGTTTCTGCATCAGTAAGATGGTGGCCAAACAGGATACTAGAAGTGAATATTTTTTGAAACATGCTAATTACATGTAAGCTTCTCTAATTTTTGTTGTCCTTCTGCCTTTCAGGAGGCGCTATCACACTTGGTGTGACATCAAGTTAAAGAAAGACCAGAGGTGGATGTGGACAGAGGATGATACTCCTAGCCTTCCTGGCTGAAACACATTCTACCAATTATAGATCAAATGCCCTAAAATGTAGTGACCGTGAAAAGGACAAATAAAGCAATGAATAGATTTTTCAGCTGTCCTATTTTTATTTCTGGGGACTCTATTCAGAAGGACATACCCAGATTAGATTTTCCTTGAATCATAAACTCGAGAGAGCCTGTTTTTATAAAGGTAATCTGGACTCTTAACACATAATCATTCCTTCTCCCTTCCTTATCTTTAAGTTAAACATTTTTATTTTTCCCAACTGTTTTTTATCTCAGTGTTTCCAGACCTTCCAATTTTCTATCTCCATCTTAAAGAAATTTTTATATTTAAAAAATTTTTTAAAAAGTTTTCAAAATATTGTCTGATAAGACGAGTGTCTTACTAACTTCATTGGTTTGGCTTCTGTGTCGCTGGAGTACTCATTTATATTAAGTTTGTAGTTAAGCTATGGCCACTCAATAGCTTTCACAGATCCTTCCACTTAGGCCTTTTCTACATCATCCTTTGGCAAATGGGTGATGAACTATCTTCTCTTTCCTCTATTCAATCATCTACAATGATGACAGGACTATCTTTCCAAGGAATAATTCTGGTAATGTCATGACAGAGTAGATTTCAAGCTCCTAAGCAGGGCATACAAGGCTGTTCATGATCTAGCCTTTAGTTACACATCCATTCTTCTTATCTACATTCCTTTCTTCACATGTGCTCTACTCCAGCCACACTGAACAGATAACTAAATCCCTTTCCTGCTAACATTCTTACACCTTAATGAAAAATCAAGTTTCTTCCTACCTAGAATGCCTGCAACCATTGGCCTTCAGACTCAGCCTGTGCCAATCTTGGGACTGTTTGCTGTCAGGTCCATTCCGTACCTTTCTGCTGCTCTGCTCTGCTCCGTGTTGAGGGAGGATAGGGGACCTGGTGCTGATTGTGGAAGCTTGCATTTCTCAGGTTCCCAAATCATTTGACATTTGGGCTAGGTTCTGCCCCTGGGAGGTACAGGCAGTAGATAGGAAGTAGGAAAAGAGGAAAACTGTTGAATGGCCCCTTCTGGCTCTGTATTTGGGAGAAGTCTCTGGAAATGGCTGTAGCATGTCTCAGGCTGCAGGTCCTGCTAGATAGGCCTGCCTTGGTTCCAGCTTAATCTGGGTGAGTCTTCTGGCCTCTGGTCACACCACCTCCTTTGTTTTTCTCTCCAGCTGAAGTTGTTAATGGTTTCCTCCTGTTGTTAGTTTCTGGGTGCCTCACCATCACCTACTTGCCTTTTTAGCTTTTCTAATGTCTTTTCAATCAATTCTTTGCATCACATTCCTTCTGTTCTAAGTACTTGGAGTAGTTTCTGTTTCCTAATTGATTCCTAACTAAGACAATGTTAAACATTATCTCTAGGAATATTATCTTAATTTCCTACCATTGCTTTGCTTCCATTTTTTGGCAACTAAAATAGTTTTCACTTTGTGAAATTTCCTATTTTATTTCCTCATTTTATCTACGTCTTACTGATAGATTAGGTTGTCCAGCTGCAGTAATAAATAATCCCAAATCTCAGTGGCTTAAGTGTACAGCGTTCGACTTGTTCCTCACACCATATGGTCATCTTTGGTTGGCTGTACCTATGATCAATGTTTTATGAATTCTGCAACAGGAGCTGATGGAATAGTTTGTCTTGAGCATTTTGCTTATTATATTTACAGGGAAAGAGAACTTGGTGAACCATGAGTTAACTCTTAAAGCTTCTTCTTTAAAGTGAAATATATCAATTCCAGTCAGTTTAATTAGCTAGAGCAAGTCATTTGACCATGCTTGACTTCTTTAGGAAGGGGATGTATAATTAACCTATAGAAAAAAGCAGTGCCAAATATGATTAATGTAATGTAATTTACCACATTTCTTGATGATTTCAAAGTAATTGTCACCTTAGATGCCTCTATCCTACTTGTAATTTTCTTTTCTATTGAATTAGGTGCCATCTTTCCTCCTACTTTAGTTTTCTATTTGACCATTATTTTTGAGTTTCTTTAAATAGCTCTTATTATTTTTGACTTCCCTTGAATGTTGATACCTCCAAAGATTCTTAACTTGGTTCCCCTTCTATTTTTATTCTGTGTATAACCTTTATTGGGGAATCTTATGTACTGCCATAGATGCCAATATAGTCTCCATGTTAGGAACTACAAAATCTATAGCTACAATCTGTATTTTTTTTTAAGAAGAGATTTAGTTACTTATAAGACACTTCCAAGAGATGCTCTTTTTTCAGATTTAACTCAACTCAACAGATTTTTACCTGAGCTCATTGTTCCTCTTTCAAAACACACTCCCATATTCTACTTTGCTATTCAGTTTACAGCACAGACATTTTCATGGTTGCCTGAGACAGAAACTTAGCAATGATTTTAAGTACTCCCTCTCATCAGCCTCCCTTCTGATTGGTAAGCAAGGCTTCTTATTATAAACCCTTTTCACATCTATTGCATATATTTTTCATGATCACAACTGGTACTGTTCTTCTTTAAATTTTGTCATTTCTTTCTTTTTCTTTATTTTTTTTTTGAGATAAAATCTCACTCTAGCCCCAGGCTGAAGTGCTGTGGTGCCATCACAGCTCACTGCAGCCTGGACCTCCTGGACTCAGATGATCCTCCCACCTTAGCATCCTGAGTAGCTAGGACTATAGGCACACACCATCATACCTGACTAATTTTTCTTTTTATTTTTTTACATACTATGTTGCTCAAGCTAGTCTTGAACTCCTGGGCTCAAGCAATCCTCCTGCATTGGCTTCCCACAGTGCTGGGATTACAGGTGTGAGCCACTGTTTCCAGCCCGAGATCTTGTCATTTTTCATCAAACTACTGTGTTAATCTCTCAAGTGACCTTTGTATTCCCAATGGTGCCCTTCAAATCCATCAGCCACACACACAGAAAGTGGCTTTCTAAAATACAGGAATCATTCCCCAACTTCAAACTCATCAATAGTTTTTCAATGCTGATTGATAAAAAGAGTCAGATACTACATCAAATCAACAGACACATTCATAATATAGGTTTAAACATATTTGTTTTCATACTTATTTCAAAGTCTCTTTACTAGACTGTGAAGTTAAATGGATAGTGACTCTAATGTACATGTCTATATCCTTAGCACATTGCACAGAGCCTGAAGATAGTGTTGGTTCTGTGTTTATTGAATAAATGGGTTTGTTTCTGTTAAGTTTTATCTGATTGGGTTGGTCCCTTTGTTTTGTCCACCAGTAATATTATTAAGCCATTCATTGCTATCTCTCCCAGTGTTTTGCATATTTGAGAAGGATGCCTCTCTATGCATTCATCAAGTTATTAAATGGAAAAGATTGGGGATAAAGTTCTCTGCCACTATACTCAGAGTAATGGCAGTAATCTGGCAATTTACTGGGTTTAAAGTTTTTGTTTTTTGTTTTTCCAGAGGTGTGTCAAAGAGAGTGATTAAGAAGGAATATGGGGACAGATTATATTTGGAAAGCCAGGCAGAAACTGATGATAAACGTTATCATAAAAGTGACAACACCGGCCGGGCGCGGTGGCTCAAGCTTGTAATCCCAGCACTTTGGGAGGCCGAGGTGGGTGGATCACGAGGTCAAGAGATCGAGACCATCCTGGTCAACATGGTGAAACCCCGTCTCTACCAAAACTACAAAAAATTAGCTGGGCATGGTGGCGCGTGCCTGTAATCCCAGCTACTCAGGAAGCTGAGGCAGGAGAATTGCCTGAACCCAGGAGGCGGAGGTTGCGGTGAGCCGAGATCGCGCCATTGCACTCCAGCCTGGGTAACATGAGTGAAACTCCGCCTCAGAAAAAAAAAAAAAAAAAAAAGAAAAAAAAAAAAAAGTGACAACACCAAATGCTGGTGAGGATGTAGAGAAGCTGAATCACTCACACATTGTTGGTGTGAAAGTAAAGCAGTACAGCCACTCTGGCAAAAGAGTTTGACATTTTCTTAAAAAACTAAACATGTAACTACCATTAAACCCAGTAATTGTACTCTTGGGCATTCATCCCAGAGAAACAAAAACTTATGTTTATGCAAAAACCTGTACACAAATGTTCATAACAATTTTATTTTTAGTAGCCCCAAACTGGAAACAACACAGTTGTTCTTCAATGGATGAATGGCTAAACTTTGTACATCTGCGTAACAAGATACTATTCAACAAAAAAGGAGAACAAACTATTTATATACACAGTAACCTGGATTTATCCAGGTTATATATATATATATATTCTCTAAGGATTTAGAGAATTACGCTAAGTGAAAAAGTCAAACCCCAAATGTTAAATGCTGTGTAATTTTATTTATATAACATTTTCAAAATGACAAAATGATAGAAATAAAAAACAAATTTGTGATTTGAGGTTAAGGAGAGGGTGGGGGCAAGAGGGAAATGAGTGTGCTATATAAGGGTTGTATGAGAGATCCTTATGAGGACAGAATTGTACCGTATCAATGTCAGCATACTGGTTTAGATACGGTAGCATAGTTTTGCAAGATGCTACCATTGGAGGAAACTTGGCAGAAATATGCTGGATTGCACTGTATGATTTCTTAAACCTTCGTGTGAATCTATAATTACCTCAAAATAAAAAGTTAAAAATGATTTTAAAGATATCGGAATATAGAAATATATAATACACATATAATTATATGGAATATATTTAACGTAAGTTATATATAACTATGATATACAACTATAATTATGTATAACTGTAGTTACATATATGCACATATGTAACATTCATTCTCTTCATCCATAAATTCCACAAATTAGAGGAAACCACTGTTCACATTTTGATGTGCTTTTTATCATGACATTTTCTAAATATTTACAGACATATATGAATGATACATTGCATATATGAATGACACATCTTATTCAAATTGTTATCTATGTGAATATTAATTTATATAATGTATATTATATTGTTTCTAATTTTTTCTTTTTTGTTATCATAAAAAGTGCTATAGTGAACAAGCATATATTTGCATACATTTTTGTCTTTATGTCTTCAGAAAAATCCTGGAAATGGAAATGCAAGGTC